TTGCTCTGCTATTTGCATCTTTCCTAAGTGGAAACAACGCAACGATCTTCACAGGTCATATCTGGGATTTTAGTGGAAGCCACTTCCTCAGTTATATTCCCCATGACATTCCATCCTTCTTCTATCAGACACTGCACAAGTGCAGCTCAGAGATGATCCAAGACTCAATAATTGACATCGTTGCTTTCCCAGGCCTCTCCCTCTTCAACATCTCCCCATCCCCAGTATTTCCAGTTCCGTAGATCTTACTTTTGGTCTTCTGGACAGAAACCTAGGACTTGGCTCATCTTCACTGCCATGCACTTCCCCTGACAGTGCTGACGTCTGGGCCAAGTTGCACGAGGACAGAGAGGATTGTCTCTTGTGCAAAATCCTAACGTGAGAAAAATAAGTTCCCAAATGCACCACTGTTATTTCTCTCACTACAAAAGCACTTTCTGTGGGAAGGGACATAGAGAAGGAGGAGAGTCAAATTTAAAGGAAAAGGAAAAGTGTGCGGCGCCTGGGTAGCTCAGTGAATTAAGCATCTGACTTTGGCTCTGGTCATGTTCTCACAGTTTGTGAGTTCGAACTCTACATCGAACTGTCTGCTGTCATCACAGAGCCTGCTTCGAACCCTCTATCTCCCCCTCTCTCTGACCCTCCCTGCTTGCATTCTATCTCTCTCAAAAATAAATAAACACTAAAAAAAATGAAGAAAAGAAAAGAAAAAGTGGATATCCAATTTGCTTGAGCTTTAGAAGTCATCCTTGTCACATGTCAACCCAGAACAATGGTGTATTCCTGGATCTCTTTCTGTCTTAAGCTGGTGACTGGTGCTGCCTCCCAGCTGCCTTGAGGAGAGGTTGAAGGATTCTGAAGGTAAAATAGAAAGGTCAGCACTGATCGTTACTGCAACATCAATGTCATTCTCAATCTGGCTTGTAGGATCTTTTTCTAGGGACTCAAATAGCTCCTGCATAGCTGCTCAAATAGCTGCATTCTTTCCAGGCTTAAAGCAGCATTCATTGGGGAATCATGGTGTCTTCCTACTATATCTTAAATGGAACCTGATCCTGATAACAGTACTTGCAATCTGAGTAATTTTATCTGTTTGAAACAGGCATTAGAAAAAAATGGAAAGTTGAAAAAGAATTTTAAAACCTTCATAAGAATGATATAGGAAGAAATATTTCTAAAATGCTACTGTTTCTTCAGTGTTCCAGGGTCACTGAGGTTGCTTTTATGGTGACTGTTGGGCAGAGTGAGGTGAAGGAAACAGAGTAATGCCAGAAAAATAAATCAAAGATAAAATGGAATGAGATCTGGATAATATAAAGCTTATAACAAATGACCCTCTGAAACATAGAAATGTCCCATTATCAAACCTGTACTTCCCTATTCTAATTCAGTTCTCCATAGATCATGTACCATTGACAGTGTAAATTTTATTCTTCATTTCTAGGTTGGGATCTTAGGCTGAAGAAGGGCAACTGGCATGTTAATGAGTGGAATGTACAGAATGTCCTGGCGCATGTTCCTTTTTCCTTCGTGGGGTTCACCCACATCTTCCATGTAGCATGCAAGCGAGTGACTGGGGCGACTGATAAGCTGGAAGGTTTCAATGTTGCACATACATCAGCACAAACAAAGAAGGGAGGGATGGTAACAAGCCTTCAGCTGGGGGAGACCTCACCACCAACCACCACTCACAACACATGGTCCACTGATGGGGGCAGGCAGTGACACGTTTCTAACAGTACAGAGATCCTCAGAAGTAGGTATCCAGCAGAGGGCACAGAAGCAAGGGCCCCAGGCCTGGGATACTCACAGAGACACAGTCATGTCATGAAAGAAATACACAAGGTCCTGGAGCTCATGACCATGAGGGCATAAGGATATCATTGTCTTCTGGACAAATCTGACAAAACATTCAAGTTCTTAACTTCCAGAAAAAACATGTCAGAGTGTTTGAGTCTTTTCAGCTAAGCTCTGCTGCCCAAGGATACAGAAGTATGTAGAATGAAGGGTCATATCTGAGGGGCTGAGGAGAGGCAGGTGCAGGAAGCATATTAGCATAAAGGCCACTCTCTTCTCCGAGGCAGGGTGAGGAGATAATAGAGGCATGAGGGAGCCAGGCCCAGGATCAGAGTCTCAGAAGGAAGTGCTCTTGAGGCATCTCCACCATGGCCTGGACTCTGATCCTTCTCACCCTCCTCACTCAGGACACAGGTGAGGTCGCCAGGGAAGGGACCATGGGGACATCTGGGCTGATCCTTTCTCTCCTTCTCAGGATCATCGGAGTCTTTCAGCACTGCACTAATGAGTGTGCTTTACTTTTTTCAGGGTCCTGGGCCCAGTCTGCCCTGCCTCAGTCTCTCGCAGTGTCTGGGCTCTGGGCCAGATAATTACCATCTCTTGTTCTGGAAGCAACAATGACATTCAGGGTTATAAGGATGTCCCCTGGTACCAACAGCTCTCAGCCACATCCCCCAAACTCCTGTTTTATCATGTACATTCTCAGGCTTCAGGGATCCCTGATCGCTTCTCTGGCTCCAAGTCTGGCAACACGGCCTCCTTGACCATCTCTGGGCTCCGGGCTGAAGATGAGGCTGATTATCACTGCTCCTCATATGCTGGTAGTAGCATTTACACAGTGGTCCAACTTTATGGGGAAGTGAGACCAAAACCTTCCCTGTACTTACAGGCTCCCTCCATTCCCATCCAGAGGGACTTCATGCAGCATGGTCTTGAGAATTCAGGTCTGTCTGCTCTCCTTTCTTCGCAAGATAAAGTAAAATGAAACACACTCTGCTGAATTGTCTGAGAAATAAATGACAGAGCCTATTTGCTTCTGTGATGTGGTCCTAGAAGTGACTCTTTCTAACTCTGCAAAGGCAGGAACTTCCAACCAGGAGGAGCCTGTGCAGTGCACTTCCTGCAATTCCCAGGGAATCCTCACTTTAAATGGCTCCATTTCACATACCAGTGCAGGCTGGCTCAGAATCAGTTTTCCAGAATTGGTGTTGTCTTAGTCAACCCAGTTTCCAACCTACTCGTTTTTGTTTTCTTCATGGCTTTTTTGAGTTATATATAGATACCATAAAACTCATTCATTTAAAACAATGGCCTTGAGTGCATTCTCCAAATTGTGAAACATCACCACCATCACATTTCAATTGTCCTCGGAAGAAACTCTATACCTATTGGCATTCGTTTCCCATTTCCCACCAATTCACCCAGTCCCTAGCAATCAATCACCTACAATCTGTCTCCATAATTTTGCCTAGTCTGGACATTTCATATAAATGGAGTTGCACAATATGGTATCTTTTGAGAATGACTTCTTTTACTCGGAATATTTTCAAGTTACATCCATGTTGTAGCATGTACTGGTATTTAGTTACTTTTACTGCCAGAATATATCCTAATGTATGGATAAATCACATTTAAAAATTGAAAAATAAGACATTTTTCAGTCCTTTCTGCCTTGTCCTAGTCAACATGAGCCTCCTTGGTGAGCCATTCTTCTGCATGTCAGTGACTGAAGTAATACCACCTGAGAAAAGATCTGAAGACATAGCTGAGGGAATGAGGATAAAGGGAAGGTGATGTTTCCAATGTCCCCTCATTTTTTACCCCACATCCAAGGAACCTGAACAGAGGAAAATGTGACTTGAGACTCTGTGATAGGTAGAATCTTCCCTTCCCTGAAACCAATGAGCCCCTGTCCTGGTAGCAGCCCTGCATGTGGACTGCCTGCTCCAAGGGTGGGCTTTTTCCAAAACAGCTCCTTTTTTCCACAAGGAAGAGCTATTGGCTGGGCATGTCCCCATTCCACAGGGGCCTCCCACATATTTGATTGGGTTGTAAACCCAATTTATGGCTGAAATGCCAACGATAAAAATTTCTAACAACACATATACATAAATAATGGCCAAGAATTCTTTGTGCATTGAACGAACCTAAGCATAATCCTCAGAACATAGGATTAGGACCAAGTCTCTTCCCAGTTGAGCAGAACTTTCTATGTTTAGCACTGGAAGTACCATGTCCTGGCAATGACCTCATTCATGAGCAAACGGTGATGGATGTTCAGTTTAGAATAGATCTTAGTCTCTCCCATAATGTTCTTTTATGAATTATTTCCTAAATCTTCTCTATACCTTGTTTTCTTTCCCTGATACATGGTCAGTACTTTCATGCTTCAGACATCTAGACTGGAAGAGCAACACACCTTGAGTCCTAGCAGGGGTTCTAAGTGAACTGCAACATGGCATGTTCTAAGAAAGACACAGAATAACATCCTGAGTTACCACCTCATGTTTGTGTAAGAATGATCAGAGGCTGTGCCTGCCTGAAGGATATATGTCCTCATGAGGAAATCCTGCAGGACATGAAGGGGCCATTGCCTTGTTATTTTCTGTCTTGTTATTATCTGTTATGAGACTTGCTTTCTGACTCTAATTACATCAGCCTGATTCTATTTTTTTTTTTAATTTTTTTTTTAACATTTATTTATTTTTGGGACAGAGAGAGACAGAGCATGAACGGGGGAGGGGCAGAGAGAGAGAGGGAGACACAGAATCGGAAGCAGGCTCCAGGCTCTGAGCCATCAGCCCAGAGCCCGACGCGGGGCTCGAACTCACAAACCGCGAGATCGTGACCTGAGCTGAAGTCGGACGCTTAACTGACTGAGCCACCCAGGCGCCCCAACCTGATTCTATTTTTTTAAGTTTGTTCATTTATTTTGAGAGAGACAGACAGGATGAGTGGGGGAGGGGCAGAGAGATAGAGAGACAGAGACAGAGAATCCCAAGCAGGCTATGCGTTGTTAGCACAGAGTGGGATGCAAAGCTCTAACTCACAAGCCTTGAGATCATGACCTGAGCCAAAACTAAGAGTCAGATGCTTAACCAACAGAGCCTACCAGGTACCCTGCGTGATTCTTTATAAAGTATTTACTAATGCATAGGAAGGCAGGTGTCATCATTCCCCATACTAGTGTGTCTCTTTTTAAGGTGCTATTGATGGAGATTGAAATGGGGTTCATGAGCACACAGATAAGAAAGAATTCTTGAGACATCTTTGGTGCAAAAAGGTGATTTTTATTAAAGCCTGGAGACAGGACTCATGGGCAGAAAGAGCTGTGGTTGCAAGTGTAGGGAGAGACTTATGTATTTCGAGTTTGCAGAGGGAGAAGATGTATAGATAACATAAGTCCCCAAGAAATTTCTGGATCCTGAAAGCAGGGTCTCACAGGACTCTGAAGATTTGGTGTTCTCAAGATAAGGTTGCTTTTAGTTTTTTTAAAATTTACTTCTTTATTTTTAATTTAATTCCAAGTTAGTTAGCATATAGCGCTATAATGATTTCAGGAGTAGATTTCAGTTATTTATACCCTCTGTATAATACCCAGTGCTCCTCCAAACAAATGTCCTCCCTAATGTCCCTTACTCCTTTAGCCCATCACCCCACCCACAACCCCTCCAGCAACCCTCAGTTTCTTCCCTGTATTTAAGAGTCACTTATGTTTTGTCCCCCTCCTTGTTTTAATATTATTTTTCCTCCCCTTCCTTTATATTCATCTGTTTTGTATCTTAAATTTCTCTTATGAGTGAAGCTGTATGATATTTGTCTTTCTCTGACTGGCTAATTTCACTGAGCCTAACACTCTCTAGTTCCACCCACATAGTTGCAAATGACAAGGTTTCATTCTTTTTGATTGCTGAGCAATACTCCAATGTGTGTGTGTGTGTGTATATGTATATGTATATATACATATACACACATATATACCATATTTTCTTCATCCATTCATCCATCTTTGGACATTTGGACTCTATCCATACTTTGGCCATTGTTGATAACGCTGCTATAAACATGGGGGTACGTGTACACGTTTGAAAGAGCACACCTGTATCCTTTGGATAAATACCTGGTAGTGCAATTGTCTGGGTCATATGGTAGTTGTAGTCTTAATTTTTTGAGGAATCTCGATACTGTTTTGGAGAGTGGCTGCACCAGTTTGCATTCCCACCAGCAGCGCAAAAGAGATCCTCTTTCTCCACATCCTCACAAACCTAAGTTGTTGCCTAAGGGTAGCTTTCAGTTTTTGAAGAAGTGTGAACCTTAAGGCATTAAGGCAGCCATAAACTCCTAGAGGAACGTTACATGCTGCAGGTCTCTGGTATATATCAGTGGGCTGCATGCTGTAAGGGATGGAATTTAAATTACATGCTTCTTGTCTTTGTTTCCCTCATCTGTATGACAATTTCCTTTGGAGAAAGTGGTTATTATGTTTATGCTAGGAAACATTACCAAGAAACAAAGAAGTTAGACATTGAGTAAACAGGATTGCTTCCAATATGACATTTCTAGAGCTACAAAGCCCTTTGTGTCTTGTGTATATGAATCTCAAAGTATAGGAAAAGCCTCTAGGGTTGTCTTAAGTAATGACTATATACATTTCAAAATTTTTATAAAAAGATGAGAAGATTGTTACTTTTAATAGAGGCAATGTGAAATACTTCAGGTGTTTCTATGGTCAAAATATCTACCAGTGTTTTTCTGTTCAGTACAATCAGGGAAATTAGGGCAAGAACATACATGTGTCCAAAGAATTTCCCTGTTAAGTGCCACTCATTTTACATTGAATCTGTTCTGGTAATTTACTTTTTCTTTTCTTCTTCACTTTCTACAGTTATGAAACCGTCTTGTTTCATTCAGTCTGAATCCTAAAGATTTAGGGACTGATATTTGTGTATTTTTAGTTTATTTGCTTTAGCTTTATCAGTCATTAATCATATTATATTCAAGCGGCATGTTTGCTGCCATTGGAGGTAGTCTTGCTCTTTATTTGAATATTATGCCTTATTTTATGGACACAAGAATCCAAAAGAATTAAGAAAGATAGTGTTTCCTGCACCATAGGGAACTGAGTTTGCTCTTTGTACTAACAGTGCATGGAGCAGAAGAAAAGGCGGCTCTTGCATGTATCATGTAAGCAGAAGTTGAACACCTGTACTCTTCCCAGGGAACCTGTCTATGGTAATCTCAGGAGGCAAGGATCCAATCTACAAGACTACTCACTCCACCTCAGAACTAAGTGATGGATTAATGAGAAGGTCATTAACAGCTTGCCGTTTTATTATTATTTTAGTAATAGACATTATTATCTAGATTCATTCTGAGTAATATAGAACATACACGTTCAAAACACACATGAACAATCATTTCAAATAAAACAGCTATCACTTCCTCCTACCATGCACTCTCCTTCCCTCAGTCTCACGTCCACCAATTATTTCCTCCCACCTTTTGCCAGAGCATCACCTTTCTTGTGCTCCTTAAATGTCTTCCACAGGGTGTGAACAAGGACACTGACATAGTTTCATCAGAACATTCACACTATATAGAAATATGCCCATATTCTGAGTGGGCATTTCCATTTCCATTCTGGCAAAGACTAGTCAGCCCTGATTAGAGTCTCTGCCCCAAACCCATCTCTTTAGTAAACACACTAGGTCAAAAATCCTTGTGGATGAAGAGACTGCTTCAGGATGACACACAGCTACGAGGGGGAGATCTTCTCAATATGCACTATGGGGCAGGATGAAGAATGTCAGGGCAGACCCCTTGGGCTTTGGAGAAGGGGCATGAACAAGGGGCTTTGTAAAGGACTCTCCTAACTGCAGTGCTCATGTGCATCTCCTTCTGTTCTCTTTAGTTCCTAGCTCGCAGCCTGTGGTGACCTAAGAGCCTTCCTTCATAATGATGCCTGAGCTGACAGTCGTCCTTACCTGCTCTATGAGTCTGGGACATGTCGTGACTGGGAATGTTCCAAGATGGTTCCAGAGGAAACCTGGCCAACCTCCTCTACAACTCATTCTCACAGGCAGAGCTTGCCCTCACCATCTCTAGGGCACAGTCCAAGGACAAGGCTGAGTACTTCTGTATAGTCTGATATAATGCATCTGCTTCACAGCGACACCTTGAAAAGGATGCTGCATTAAAAATTTCAACATGATCATGAACAAAGAGAAAAATCCTCCCATCTTGGGCAAGGGCTGAGACCCAATTAAAACCCAATTTTCCGTTCACTCAGCCAGTGATTGCCCTAAGTATAACATTCTTGGAACAAAATCTGTTTTCCAGAGCATTGTGGATGCTGCCTCACTGTTTCACCAGCATTCAATATAACACAGGAGAGGTGTGAAGATGGTCTGATTTTCACTCTTTTGGGTCATAGGACTTTTGTTGTGAGAAGTTATGGAATTCTTTAGAACAAATTTGATTAATCTGAGTTTGAGCACTAGATATATATACACACATCAGGAGAAATTTTTCTGCTGGTACCAGTAATATGCTTTGGGTGCCACAGCTCAAGTGGTGTGACCATCTTCCATCTAGGGAGGGTGTTCTGGCCTTTTCTAGCGATATGCCCATGGGCCTCTGAAGACATCTCATGAAGAGGAGTCTAGTAACCACCCGCCGTCTGGTAGCCAATGATGGTGCAGGGACACATAATCCTTGTTCCCTCACCTGAAAGTGGAACACACCCCATGGTACACCTTACCCTCCAGAGTTCCCTACAGGATCAGGCAGAGACCAGACTTTACGTTTCTAACTTGCCCACCCTGCTCCCCTCTCTCCCTTCCTGTCTTAAGAACACTCCTGAGTAAATCACATGGGCCCCCACTCCTCTTTCAGACTCTGCTTCCAAGGAACCCAAATGAGACTTTACGTAGGGTAGAGTGAAGAGTAAGTCCCCTGCCCAGGTATTGAATATCAAAGACCATCACATATAGCAACTCTTGTACATCTTTCCAGAAGCAGCTGGGCATATATTATTGCTCCATTCTTTATAAGGCTGCAGATTATTCCACAGGAACATTTTAATCAACTGGACACCAATGCTAATTCTGATCTTACAAATAACACTATGATGATACTCAGACTAGGTATGATCATACAATACATTTCTAGAAGCAGAACTGTTGGGTCAAAGGAATACGTGTCTGTAATGTCCATCTATCATTGTCAGATTCCCTTCCACAGAGATTGTGCCAATTTATAATGCCAGCAAAAAATATATGATCTTTGCCAACCTTAGGTGAAAAATGCTATTTTGATACAGTTTTGCCTTATATTTTTCCTATTATGCTTGGGGTTGAGCATCTTTTCAGATGTTTCTGTGTTCTTGATATTTTAGATGTTGGTACCTTTTCTTAAGGGGCCAGACGGTCAATATTTTAGGCTTTGTTGGGCCCAAAATCAAATTTGAAGATATTACATAAGTACTTGTAAAACTGTTTAAAATGTAAAACTCTTTATAAGTATTAAAATTTCTGAAGTCAAAAGCCATACAAAAATATGTGAGACGCCAAGTTTGTCCCACTGGATGTGGTTTAATGATCCCTGTTTTGTATGGTTATCTGAAGTTTGAAAGCCCCACAAGTATATGTTCTGGTACAGGTGTCTTTATTAGGAAGGGCATATTTTACCTCATATCATAGCTGGAAGTCTTTGTTTGGATAAGGGAATACTTTTACAATTTATTTGATTGGACCTCAGGTTTGTCCAAGATAGTACTTATGTTCCATTTTCATAACTTGTTTTCTATCCTTTTGCTCTGAGTTTGGGGAATATTCAGTATCAGAAATAGGCTCCCCCTGGATAGAAAATTGGAGGGAGGGAGAGGGGCAAATGGGCAAGGCAAGTTTGTGCCAAACTCTGGAGTCATCCAGTGCAGGCTCAGAACTTTCCCTGAAAAAGAGAGTCATAAAATCAGGATCATAATGGAGGCAGAAACCAAATTAGATCATTGAAGTTTCAGGGAATTAAAAAAAATGAAATGTAAGTATTAAATGCATTGGATATTTATATATTTAAAACTTGGAATTTAACAACAGATAAAGAAAAAAGCTTGATATCATAAACCCTAAAGACCCCCCAAACAAGTTGCCAGTACACTAGCTTACTAGTGGAAATGTGCTTAGTTTCAAATGATTGTTTTCCGTAAATGCAG